ACTATTTTTTTATTTACTAATAAAATTTAGCTCTATAAACTACAACAAATTACAATTAATTAACTCAAGACAATACAAGACAGCGTTGAGTTGTCATAAATCATAAAGATTCTAGATGGTTATGTCTATCTCATTTTTCGGTCCTAGTGAAACTAATAGCGTTTTCGAATAAACGGGGTTTGAACGACCCAGGGTTGATCAATCACTGGGCTTGTTCGTTTTAGCTGCACTGGGGCAGCTCTGGGTCTGCTCTAAACAAGATAATACAGGACAAACTATTTATCTGTCCTGTATTATCCTGTGTAGAGCAGACCCAGAGCAGCCCCAGTGTAGCTAAAACGAACAAGCCCACTATTTTACTATAAATGCAAGTCTTTCATTGGTGGAGAGGTTGCAATAACGTCATTAACCAACCCTGGGTCGTTCAAATCCTGTATAATCGAAAACGCTATTAGTTTCGGAACGCAACAAAATCGCAAGACCGTCCTCGCGATTTTGATGTATGTCCAAATCTGAATGGTGCGCTACAAATATAGACCAATTGCAAGCTTGTTACTGTTCTGCTTTTTGGACGCAACCAATAGCTAAGGAGCGTAGATTATTGACTATCGCAGTTTCTTGTCGCGCGCAACTGAATTCAACGTGCAGTAATGTGTAGTTGGGTGTATGAAGTGTTGTTATGTCAAGAGATGCATATGCGAAGTAAATATTAAAAATATAAATCGTGTACTTTTATTTGTATACGCTGTTTGGGAAAATACAATAATAAATATAAACTACGAAAAGAAAGTTGTTTTTTATTAAACATTTCACAAGTAAGTAAAGAATGTGACATGTGAGTGTGAAGTGATAGTGAGAATGTAACAAGCATAAATCTTATGAACTATCAACAAACACGATATCAACGATATATGCCAAAACACCACACATTAATTACAATAATAACAGGATTTTATTTGATATTATTTTGATGTGTTATTTCAGATATTAGTAATGTACATCTGCTAACACTAAACTCAACTTGAAAGTGATTCGATCATGCCGTGCTGGTATTATGAAAAGAAAGAACTACGGAACACACCGTCTATTCAAGACGGTATTGACTATGACACGGAATGCAGATATCGAAAAGAGGGTGCGCGTTTTATCATTGACACTGGTACAAAAATGGATTTAGGTTATAACACAATGGCAACAGGTGTAGTGTATTTTCATCGATTCTACATGTTTCATTCGTTCAAGAATTTTCCACGATATGTGAGTACATTTTTTACATGCTAATGTTCTCAATATATTAAGCTTAAAATATAGTAATTATGTTACTGCGATATATAGGTGACTGCTTGCTGCTGTTTACTCTTAGCTGGCAAAGTTGAAGAAACCCCTAAAAAATGTAAGGATATTATAAGGACTGCTAAAACATTGGTATCAGAACAGAAGTTTATGACATTTGGAGAGGATCCTAAAGTAAGTTGTTTATTAGCATAAAAGATTTTAGTATACCAATAAACATCAAATTTTTGCAGGAAGAAGTATTGACATTGGAAAGAATTTTATTGCAAACTATCAAATTTGATTTACAAGTGGAACATCCATATAGTTACTTATTGAAATATGCAAAATGTCTTAAAGGTAATTTCTATCAAACATATTACAAAAAATTATATAAAATATTCATAAGAAACTTGTTAAGAAATTTACAGATATATTTGAAATAAATTGGATTATTTCTAGGTGATAAAAGCAAACTACAAAAAATGGTACAAATGGCTTGGACATTTGTTAATGATAGGTATTTATTAAATATTGATACAATTCTAAATATTTAACACAATAAGAACAGCTTGTTTTATTATGTTTTTTTTACAGTTTATGCACTACACTGTCATTACAATGGGAGCCAGAAATTATAGCTGTTGCTCTAATGTACTTAGCAGGAAAACTAAGTAAGTTTGAAGTGGTAGACTGGGTGGGAAGGCAACCAAAACATTTACGTTGGTGGGATATGTTTGTCGAAGATGTGACTATGGATCTTTTAGAAGGTAAAGTCACAAGATTCCACCCTAGTACTTTACATTCTGTTGATTATTGTTATGGCAATCGAACCAAAAATATTGTATGTAATTTTAGACATTTGTCATCAAGTATTGGATCTATATTCACAAGCCAATAATGCAAAACCACCTGATTCACCACCTATGGTACCATCTAGTGAAGCTTGTAGAGAACGACCTGCTACTGTTGCTACTGCAGATTCTGCAACTAACACACCAAATGGTAAATAATAAAGACATACGATTACGAACAATTTTATCAAGTTGTTAAAAATATTGTATCATATTGGGGTGTTTAAGAATTGACAAATGTTACAGTAACACCAGGAAAATCTACTAAGATCGACACACCAGTCGTTTCTGCTAATGGATGTCCAACTACAGATGTCGTAGATACAATAAAACCAATAGAGGTTTCAACGGTACACTTTCCTACATATCCGACAAATTTTCCAGCCTCCAACAATACGAATTATCCACCCGCGTTTCCACCTGCTAATGTTTCGGTACCACCTCCTCCTGTGAATACAATGAATCATATTGTGCCAACAATACATCATATGGGGTCGTCCACTGCTATTCGTCCTACACCACCGTCGGCAACGATCACTAACCAAACCACTTTTCAGCCTTATTCCTATCCCACAAACGCATCATATTTTCCAGCAAACAATCCAATGCCACCAGCTGCACCGCCACGAAGCTATTATCCCCCACAACCACAATGAAAAACTATGTATCATGTATATTCTTCGGTATAACTGTATCGATTTAAGCGTTATTAATTAAAGAAAAAAATTAGCAAAATATACAATTTAAATTTTGAATCTTTGTTATACTTTTTATTGTTATCAATAATATATATAATTTTTCCTACTTTTAAAGGATTGCTCAATCTCAATATTACCTCTGCAAATTAACCAACAGACTTGATTCAAAGATAAAATTAATAAAATATGTAATTGTACTTTTTTAATTTCCTGTTGCTTAGTAAAGGCACATAGCCGGTCTCTTTGTGAGAGATCAAATTGAAAAGTTGCTTGTTGTTTCTCATTTTTTTTTTAATTATATATGATTTCAATTATATATGAAGAACTTTTAGTTTTTACTTAATTAGTTTGTTTAAAAACATTAGAAGATATTGTAGGATTATACATTTATTTAATAATATAGAGTACAGTTAACAATATAGAGTACAACTAATCGCCATGTACTTTTTCGTATAGAAGTTCGCTCGAGACTGACTATTCGCTCGTTTCTCTACGCACTTTTATACCCTAAAGAGTGGTAACATAAAAGAAAACCGACATTGTTTGTCGCGGACCGCCAAAAAGAGTTTACTTATAATTATCTCAATAGACGCTGTGATCGAAAACATAAAAAGAAAACTGACGTTATTTGTCGCGGGCCGCCAAAAGAGTCATAGACGCCGCGACCGGAAATATAAAAGAAATAAATGAAATAAAACATTAGACGGCGGATCGATCTGTCGGCAGTGGATCAATAGATCCTACAATATATAGGCGACGCCACTTTTGAAGCACGATAAGAGCTTTTGGTTCTCAGAAGTATGTAGTTGGAAGTATCGCTTCTTTTGTTATGTTATGGTGTCGTGACGATTAACGAGTTTGCTTCTGTCAAAAAAAAAGTAATATCTGAGAACGTCTTGACGTGTTATACCATCTTTTAGGTTGTTTCGGGTCGAGTAGAGCGAAAGTGTTTTAATTATTCTTGTTATTTTAAGGAATACATATCGACCGAACTCTAATTATAGGTGGAAAACAGATTGTATTTCAAGTGACTCAGAGTCACTTCTTAAAAAATAACCATCACGGACAATGTGTCCATGTTGTCAAGGGAGACAACAAAAGAGTAAGTAATAGCGTTTTCGATTATACAGGATTTGAACGACCCAGGGTTGATCAATCACTATTTTACTATAAATGCAAGTCTTTCATTGGTGGAGAGGTTGCAATGACGTCATTAACCAACCCTGGGTC